GTTTACGTGCTTTTTTTTTGCATGTTATAGGTACAAGTAGGATATTGCGGTTTCAAAACATACATTTTTAAAATTTATCAATAGTGACATTGTAACATTATTATCTGTCATAAATCTCTGAATAACACCCAACATGTACATATTTTTTTAAAGTAGACAACCCAGGGTATTCAATATGGGTATGTCCAGTCTTTTTTAGTAGCCACTTAGTCGAAAACACTGGCCAAAGTAAGCATTCCTATTTGTTTGTGTGTGAAAAAAGTAAAAAAACTAAATTGAACGCTAATTTTGGCCAGTGTTTGTGACCAAGTGGTTACTAAAAAAGACTGGACATACCCCATTTGCAATACCTTGGGTTGTCTTCTTTTGCAAATGGTATGCCATCATGGGGTAATTCTCATTCCTGGGCTACCATACGCTCTCAAAGGCAACGTAACCAACCTGGCCATTTTCAATGTAAAAATATTTGACCCATATATTTGACCCTGTAACTTTCAAAAATACTATAAAACCTGTACATGGGGGGTACTGTTTTACTCAGGAGACTTTGCTGAACACAAATATTAGTGTTTAAAAACTGGAAAACGTATCACAACAATTATATCATCCAGGGGCGGACTGACAACTTATAGGGCCCTCGGTCAATAGTAGATCAAGGGCCCCCCTCCCGGTGCAAGGTCTTTGTGCAGCTCTCATACAAATATGTGCGCACTACCCAGCATGGCTGTCCCCCAAACAGGGCCAGATATACTTTAAAGGGTTAATCCAACCAAAAACAGTGTTTTAATAAAACATTGTTTTTGAGTGGAGTACCCCTTAATAGCTTGCCTTACGCTCCCCTCCCCCCATTAAAATAAAGACATAAAGCAAATTTAATTAGACCCTTCCTCTGTGTTTGTTGGTGACATCACAAGCAGCATCCCCCACATGTTCAACCATACAAGCAGCCTCCAAACACGTGTTTGGAGGCTACTTGTGTGGTTGCATGTGTGGGATGCTGCTTGTGTTCCTGAATGTCAACATGTTGAATTAGAATTAATTGTTTGACTTGTTTTACCTATTGTACTGCGCTGCAGAATATGTTGGTGCTATATAAGTAATTGTAATAATTGCGTTTGTATGTATAAGGAGGCTGTATGCAGTATTGCAATGCTGGGGATGCCTCTTGTGATGTGTGTGTGTATAAGGAGGCTGTATGCAGTATTGCAATGCTGGGGATGCCTCTTGTGATGTGTGTATGTATAAGGAGGCTGTATGCAGTATTGCAATGCTGGGGATGCCTCTTGTGATGTGTGTGTGTGTGTGTGTATAAGGAGGCTGTATGCAGTATTGCCATGCTGGGGATGCCTCTTGTGATGTGTGTGTGTGTGTGTATTAGGAGGCTGTATGCAGTATTGCCATGCTGAGGATGCCTCTTGTGATATTTGTGTAGGGAGGCTGCATGTGGTATTGAATGTGTGGGGATGCTGTTTGTGGGATTACGTGCATACAGTGAGGTTCCTTGTGGGTTTGTGTGTGTGTATGGAGCTGTTTGCAGTGTTGTATGTTAGTGGAGAGGGCTGGTTGTGTTGCAGAGAGTGTGTGGATAGGGGCTGTTGTGTGTGTGGGGGATAGGGGCTCTAGTAGGCAGCTGGGGGATACTGGGACTGTAGTGTATGTTTGTATGATACTAGAGGCTCTACTGTGTGGGGGAGATACAGAGGCTGCAGTATGTGTGTGGATAGTGGCTGCAGTGCATGAGGGGGGATATGGGCTATAGTAGGTGCAGGGGGGCATACGGACGGTGGGGGGATAGCAGCTGCAGTGGAAGCAGTGAGGGATAGGGGCTGTAGTGAGTGCTGGGAGGGATAGGGATGAGAGTTATGAGGACTGTAGTGGGTGCAGGAAGGCATAGGGGTGAGGTGGGTACAGGGAGAGAGAGGCTGAGTAGTGTACAAGAAGGCACAGAGGCTGTGGTGGGTACAGGGAAGGATAGGAATGACAGCGATAGGGCTGTAGTGGGTGAAGGGGGAGTGGGATCTGGGATGGTAAAGGGGCATAGGGGCTGTGGTGGGTCAAGGGGCATAGTGGCTCAGATGGATAAAGAGGGCAGAGGGGCTGTGAAAGGGGGCTCAGATGGATAAAGGGGCATAGTGACTGGGATGGGTGAAGGGGGCACAGGTGGTGTTATGGGTGAAGGGGGCACAGGTGGTGTTATGGGTGAAGGGGGCACAGGGGCTGGGATGGGTAAGGGGCACAGGGGCTGGGATGGGTAAAGGGGCACAGGGGCTGGGATGGGATGGGAACATGGGGGCCCAGAGGCTGGGATAGGAAAAGGGGGACCAGAGGCTGGGAAATGAAAAGGGGGGCTCAGAGGCTGGGAAATGAAAAGGGGGGCTCAGAGATTGGGAAATGAAAAGGGGGGCCCAGAGATTGGGAAATGAAAAGGGGGGCCCAGAGGCTGGGAAATGAAAAGGGGGGCACAGGGGCTAGGATGAGTGAAGGGACACAGGGGCTGGGCTGGGTGAAGGGGCACAGGGGCTGGGATGGATGAAGGGGGGCACTGGAGCTGAGATGGGTGAAGGGGGCACTGGGGCTGGGATGGGTGAAAGGGGGCACAAGGGCTGGGATGGGTAAAGGGGGTACAGGTGCTGGGATAGG